CCTCCCTCCCTCCCTCCCTCCCTCCCTCCCTCCCTCCCTCCCTCCCTCCCTCCCTCCCTCCCTCCCTCCCTCCCTCCCTCCCTCCCTCCCTCCCTCCCTCCCTCCCTCCCTCCCTCCCTCCCTCCCTCCCTCCCTCCCTCCCTCCCTCCCTCCCTCCCTCCCTCCCTCCCTCCCTCCCTCCCTCCCTCCCTCCCTCCCTCCCTCCCTCCCTCCCTCCCTCCCTCCCTCCCTCCCTCCCTCCCTCCCTCCCTCCCTCCCTCCCTCCCTCCCTCCCTCCCTCCCTCCCTCCCTCCCTCCCTCCCTCCCTCCCTCCCTCCCTCCCTCCCTCCCTCCCTCCCTCCCTCCCTCCCTCCCTCCCTCCCTCCCTCCCTCCCTCCCTCCCTCCCTCCCTCCCTCCCTCCCTCCCTCCCTCCCTCCCTCCCTCCCTCCCTCCCTCCCTCCCTCCCTCCCTCCCTCCCTCCCTCCCTCCCTCCCTCCCTCCCTCCCTCCCTCCCTCCCTCCCTCCCTCCCTCCCTCCCTCCCTCCCTCCCTCCCTCCCTCCCTCCCTCCCTCCCTCCCTCCCTCCCTCCCTCCCTCCCTCCCTCCCTCCCTCCCTCCCTCCCTCCCTCCCTCCCTCCCTCCCTCCCTCCCTCCCTCCCTCCCTCCCTCCCTCCCTCCCTCCCTCCCTCCCTCCCTCCCTCCCTCCCTCCCTCCCTCCCTCCCTCCCTCCCTCCCTCCCTCCCTCCCTCCCTCCCTCCCTCCCTCCCTCCCTCCCTCCCTCCCTCCCTCCCTCCCTCCCTCCCTCCCTCCCTCCCTCCCTCCCTCCCTCCCTCCCTCCCTCCCTCCCTCCCTCCCTCCCTCCCTCCCTCCCTCCCTCCCTCCCTCCCTCCCTCCCTCCCTCCCTCCCTCCCTCCCTCCCTCCCTCCCTCAGAATACTCGTAAGTACTACTATCAATTTTTCTAGAAGCATTTCCAATTGTTAGGACCAAGAAATTAATAATGAAGTCTCATGATTTTTTCTCATATTTTAATATATTCACTGTTTTACAGATACACCGCACCCGACGGCACTGAGGTCCATGTCAAGTTCGTGGCTGACGAGAACGGCTTCCAGCCCCAGTCCGACGTCCTCCCCGTGGCCCCCGCTTTCCCTCACCCGATCCCTCAGTTCGTCCTCGACCAGATCGCCTTCGCCGCCGAGGAGGACGCCGCCGCCGCCCGCGCCGCTAAGGAAGATTCCGACGAAGTTGTCGCCCCATCCACTCTCTACGGCCGCCCCAACTAAATTCATACCCAAACGATGTATTTATTCTATTTATAATTAAAATAGAATTTATAAAGCGATTTCATGTGTGACTGACCTTAAATTTCGCAACAATAAGATTTTATACATTTTAAAGTGTACTCAGATATATTTTTCATATCGCATTATTTTCCCATTATTGTTACTACATTTTCATAAATTACTGTTGACCTTGTAGCCACACTCGTAACGTAAATTCAAAATGGAAGTTAAAATATTCGAAAAGGACCGATAGAATGAGATGTAACGGATAGTTTTACATATATGCTTAAATATATAGGCCTATATATGAAGTTAAACTATTAAAAACGAGTCGTTGACCGTAGCCAATAGGTTATAAGATGGGTAATGAAAACTGATAAAATAGAACCGTCACTTGAATGCAAGACAAGTTACTGTATTATAAATGAAGTAATATTTTAACAATACCAAGCTTAGATGAAGGTTAGTATATTACGTTGAAATACATTAACTCGTTTAATGAATAACTAAAAAAAAATCCTAGTACTAACATATTGACTTTAACTGCCACACAAATAGCATGAGGTCTTAAATTTTCTTGAAGTTGCAGTAGACTGGTTCATTAACTGATTCACTATCTCACTGTAAGAGACTTCGCTTACGATGCAAAAGAAAAAAATGTGAGAGAAAAGAGTGGAAGGTGTAACAGAGAATTCAGTGCACTTTCTCTCTCTCTACACAAGGGCGTTTGGGGCGGGGAGGGAATACTGTCCTTTATCCATTTTCCTCGTAGTGCAGAACAAATGCCATTAGCAGCAGACCTTCACAAGTTAGTAAGATAAATGATCAAAAATCGGTCTCAGATGCCTGCACGTCCCGATAAAAATAGAGACCTATACACCTCTAAGAATAATTCGGCAGGCCTTCCCTACTCACAAACACGTCTTTGATAGAGAGAAAGAGAAAGAGAGAGAAGGAGGAGGGAAGAGAGTGAGTGAGGAACAGAAAGGGAGAAAGAAATAATGGGAGATAGAGACCTAGGAGATTAAGGGAAAGAGAGTGCGTTGGGGATAATTTTTCGCATGAATTTTAACTGATGTAGTAACCAAACAGTATCATTGAAAGAATGGTAATGCAAGCAACTTCATCTTGTCCTCTATTGGAGACAAAGAAAAGATTCCTAGCACAAAACACTAATCAAGAGCCTCATAAATAAAGTTTTAATATAATAATCTTCGAGCACAGCAATATTCAGTGAGTATAGTTTGTCCATTACACAATACGGACAATTCATGCATTAAAGGACTAGCAGTCAATTCTAAATATTACAAAGAATAAATGCCGATCAATATCCGCCGCAACAAGTATCTAGATAAAAATATATGTTACACAGATCACAGTAACTCAGGACAAAATTAAGATGAAATATAAGATAGATTTTTAGAAAACATCTAATGAAAACTCGGAACGAGCAGATTTAATGTTCCTTTTTACCTTCAACGGTAGTTCATCTCGTGTTTTGCCAACTTTAGCAACGGGAAAAATAAGTCATAAATATAACTAGATCAATGTTAATATTTTTAGTCTCTCTTCAGACACAGTGGGACAGTTCTCTGCGCCTCTTACACAAGTAATTTTCAAAAGTTGCTCATACATATTTTTCTCATCTACGATAATTTGTAAATATGTGATCGAGTACAAGAAATACAGCAACTACAGAGAGAAATGTAGGAAAGAAACAACGTAAAAACTAGGTATGGGAAGATACAAACACAACTTTAATAATGATGCGGTGAATACAAGACTACTGATGAGTTAAAAGGTGAAGGTCAGGGTTTTGTATGTAGGGAAGGTCAGTCCCTACTATATAAGATGGGCCAACGCTGATTCTGGCACCAGTACAGTATCTACTGACACATCAACATGAAATTCGTGAGTAGATATGAAATGAGTGTTATATTTACAATAATAAATACATGTATATCCACATACATATGTATACGTATACACATAGTACATTTCACAAAATGCTGTCATTGTATGTTATAATGTAAACCGATTATGAACATGACTGACCCTATGATGACATCCCTGTTGTAACCACAGCTGATCCTCGCCTGTGTTGCCGCCGTGGCCGTCGCCGCTCCCCAGTACAGCTATGGGGTTCCTTCTGCTGAGTCTAGCGAGGAAGTCGCTGCTCCTCAGACCAGCTATGGCGCTCCTCGTGCTGCGTCCAGCGAGGAGGTCGAGTTCGTACCGATCCTCAAGGACGACCGCGTCCACGAGGAAGACGGCACTTACAACTTCGATTTCGAAGCTGCCAACGGCATCAGCTTCTCCCAGGCTGGATCCCCCGACGGTGATGACGACGCTGTGATCAAGGCTGGAGAATACTCGTAAGTTCTACTATTGATAATTTTATGAGAAACATTTCCAAATCAACAATGAAGGCTATTTTTTTTTTTTTTTTTCATCATATTCTAATATATTCAATGCTTTGCAGATACACCGCACCCGACGGCACTGAGGTCCATGTCAAGTTCGTGGCTGACGAGAACGGCTTCCAGCCCCAGTCCGACGTCCTCCCCGTGGCCCCCGCTTTCCCTCACCCGATCCCTCAGTTCGTCCTCGACCAGATCGCCTTCGCCGCCGAGGAGGACGCCGCCCGTGCCCGTGCTGGTGATGATTCCGACGAGGTTGCCGCTCCATCCACTCTCTACGGCCGCCCCAACTAAATTCATACCTAAACGATGTATTTATTCTATTTATAATTAAAATAGAATTTATAAAGCGATTTCATGTGTCACTGACCTTACTCCTATCTAATATATATATATATGTATTGTGCACAAAGATGGAAAAAATAACACCTACACTATAAGCAAGAAATTGAGCATAGTGTTTCGGTTATTTGCTTCGTCTGCAAAGGATTTCTAGAGAGAAAAGTGCGAAATGTTGCTTTTCATGTTGTGGCTGTTTCCTTGTATGTTCTTATATACACGAAGATCTACAGAAGGGTATTGGCACACATATAAAGACAGATATAAATGGAGATGAGAACCGAAAATTCTGTCCTTATTTGCAGTTCCACCTCTTCACTTTCGCAGAGTTTGTAGTGCCGATATCATCATTTGAATTGATAAATGCCACTGCCTGGCTTTCATAGGCTAACGGAGGGAGAGAGTCGCTTCAATTCTTTGACTGCCCGAATATATATATAAACAATATATTCATATGATTATACACACTATATGTCAAATAGAGAAATTAATATATGTATTATTATAATGTATTCATACAGGTCATATATACATATATATATTATATTTTTTTATTTATCTATTTCTGTATTTATTCACTATTGTATCTGTCTAACTACACACACACATATATATGTATGTATGTATATATACGTGTGTGTCTATATTTGTATGTATATATATATTATATATATGCAAACATATACATATATATGCATATATATGTATATATATACTCACACATACACGCACACACATACATACATGCATACATACATACACACACATATGTGTGTATATATACATCCAAACATACATACACATATATGTCTGTATATATACATCCACACATACACACATATATGTGTGTATGTATATATGTATATGTGTGTGTGTACATGTATGTGTATATATATGTAAGTATGTATGTGTGCGTATGCATTTATCTGTGTATGTATGTGTTCATCTATAAATATACTTTCAGTTTATCAATTACA